TTAAAAACTCCATCCCATTGTCTATAACTTTAGCAAAATAAAACTGTGATTCATGTTGTCATAAAATAAGGACAGTGCAGAATATGTCCCTGACATACTAAAAATCTCGAAGTTCTAAACATGGTAGGCAGCACATGTTATTACTCATGATGAGGAAACAGATTTTAGGCTGAACAAAAATTCCACTGCCAATGCTTTAAACATGAACTTAGTAAGCAAGATACAGCCACCAAATATTCCATAGGCAATTAAACATTAGCGCAGTAACTCAACAATAATTTAGGGTCAAAGACCCCTATTCATACCACGGGTCAAAATCAAGGTCCGGACCAACTATGGAACTTAAATTTAGTGTCAATTCAACAGAATTCTATATACAGAAAACAGACTATGATTTATGTCATCAATTAGACAAGGAAGAAGTGAACCTCAATCAGTGATAAGGCTCACAATTTAAAAGAAAGTAAAGCAAAGTGTCTTATAGCAGAGACCACCAAAAGTGACTCCATAGTTAAAAATTGCTATAATAAAATGAACAGGAAAAAAGAGGAGAGTGTTTTTGGTGGGATATGAACTCAAAATCAGTCATCATCAATAAAGCTGTGACTCAGAGAGCATGGTTTTTGTCACAAAATGGACATAACAAATAGTACCAAATTGTGAAAAAAAGTATGGTTTCATGCTGCTGAGCAAATTAGACAAGGCTCCTTATTTTCCTACTTAATTTACCATCATGTCAACACATAAAATTATTAGAATCTGCCAAGTACAGCAGCACCACTGTGTTGACATGGCTCCCTTACCACAATGCGAAGGCAAAGACATTATTTACACACTGTTTTATATTTCAGGAAGAGGATTGTCAGCATAACTTCATTATTGTGGCGACATGAAACACATAACTTTCCGTGGTAAAAATTGGAAAGATTACCATAAATCAAAAGCACAAATACCTTGATTACTGAGAATGCTGTAAATACCTTTTCTTGCAATGCTAGTGCTAATGCATTAGCTACATCACCTTCTCTACCAGCTAAAGCCCTGTAATGTGCTAGCAAAGATCAAGCAACTAAAATATCTTCATCCTTTAGGAAACAAAACTGTTCATCAACCAAGGGGCGAGGAATTCAAATAGTGTTTGACCCAGTGAACTTAACAGAATTTCTATAAACAATCCAGATTTACATAAACCCATTTATAACAAAAGAACATCACTCCAAGTGCAAATAGAAACAATTTCATGGGCTCCCTTGTCTTTTTCAGCACAGGTAAGAAGTAGATAACAGCAAAATACACAAAATTATCATGAAAATGTTACGGTTAATTATGAAATAAAAAATAGAGTTATTAAGAAATAAGGAAAAAATTTAGAATTATCTCATGGGCCAGCCTTAACCCATGTGGGCTAGGGCTTAAAAGCTCACAGGTCCAAATAGGCCCCAATCCAAAAAGTCCATAGGGCCTAGTGGGTTAGGGTTGGCCCATGGATAAGCCCACTTTTAAAAAATAATTTAAATCTTGTGTTTGTCATACTTGCAGATTTCATATATATTTAGCAATAAGAGCCATTACCCAACAATCGTTGCATTTACAAAAGTTAATGCAGGTATCAGATTATTCATAGCAGTAGCTGCAAAAGAAGATGCATGATATAAACCTCTAAAATATGCATTTTGATTTGCTGTAACTCTTCAAGGGAAAAATATAAACTTCAGGTTAGTTTCATTATTATATATTATTATTGTCAGAAAACCAAAGCATTAAAATTACAAGCGATCATGCCAAACTGTACCCAACATTATAATTGTAAACCTATTTGTTAAGCATGTAATTGTTACAATAAGCTAGACGACCCATAATGCATTAGAAATTCATCAGTCTTAGGTTCAGAATACATTCTTTCATTTCCTGTTAAGAAAGAAGCAGAATAAGGAATTATCCAAATTTGACATGTGTTCTTTGTATGACGTTTGCAGCAATTGGGCAACTATTCAGTGATCCAAAGAATGCTGTTTGGAGGATAGCTGGTTTGATTTCTGAAGCACAAAGGGTTAAGTTATTATAAGAGAAGTTGTATTTCTCCACCAATGGAAGTTTCTCTAAGACTGATGGAGGGACTACTCCACTCAAATTGTTTGAAAGGTCAAGAACTTGGGAGGTTCTTATTGATTAGTAAAGGGATTTTCACTATAAGATGGTTCATAGAAACATCAAGTGTATTCAAATTACTCAGCTGTGAGATTTCAGCAGGAATGTAACCAATGAGACTAGTTTTGGACAAGTTCAGATATTCCAATCTTGGGGAATTTCTGTCTGGTAAGTGAAATCTATTGGGCAATATTAAGGTGCTTTAGATTATGAGATTCATTCAAATTTTGGAAAATGTCCCCCATCAAGCTGATTCTTTGACAAATCAAGATAAACTAAACGAGACTAATTGTACTTAGAGACAGAAGGTACCTGAGAAATTTGACTTAGAAATTGGTTTCTGCTAAGGTCCAAGACCTCAAGCCTTCCCTTAAACAAACTCATCACAGAACCCTGAAAGGAATTGGCAGATATGTTGAGACTCACAATGGACCTCAACCCTGAAATATCTGAATCATTACCATAAATATTATTCTCAGCAAGGTTCAAGCTAATGAGCTTAGGAAAAGCAGCAGCAAAACCATGTGGAAGTGTGTTAGAGACAAGTTTCTGGAAGGGCTGAAGGTCTATAAGCGGCAAAACTATTGGAGAGGAATTAGGAAATAGCCTGTTATATTCTGTTATAAGCAGTTTAGGATTTATCTTTTGTTATTGTTTTCTGTTTTCAGTAGTTTAGGATTTATCTTTTGTTATTGTTATTGTTTTCTGTTTTCAGTAGTTAGGATCATGATTTTAGGAAACAGAATAGTTTAAATAATGGGGTTACAGATGGGAATAGGCATCTTGTATAATTACTTCAGTCTTAGGGCACGGATCTCCCTGAGAGCTCTCTTCCCATTGTTGTTTGCTGCTCAACTGAGCCAATTCAATACATACTTTAACATTCTGTTTCTCATACCTATCAAAGTGTTCCACTAAGCTGGTTTGAAGAGAGATCAATTGAAACTAGAGAGTGACACTTGAGAATCCCGGAAGCCATGCTTTGGTCAAATGTGTTGTGGTCAAGTTTGAGGACCCTCACACTATCAAGAGAACTAACAGCTTCAGGAATTACCCCAGAGAAATTGTTGCTGGACAAGTCTAATACCAAGTTTATACTTGAGTGAGTCCAACATCTTAAGAAGTGATTGTGTAACCATTTCTTTTTCTGTGAATGAAATAACAGACAATGAAGGAGTAAAGGAAAGGGAAATTCCTGCAGGTATCATGCATGTATTATTTAATAATGTAACAAATTTCACCCTGTACTCACCCCAATAAGTACACCAATCTCAATACCAAGGAACAATGTTGTAGTGCTAGTAATGGTCCAAAGAAGAAAATATTTCTTATCTACACGCCACAAAATAATGGCTTCATCATAATCTACCTGAAAAAATAATGTCAAAAATTAAGAGCGATGCTTAATTGACAATAAAGGCAACTATCTAAAATGATATAGCAGCTAAACAGAATTTTTCTACAATACTATAGCTTGAATTAATAAATTATAAAATTAGCTCGGTTAGACATTAAGATGTTGGATGTCTGAACAAGGATACAAACAAACTATTTTAACATAATATTTTCCATTTCGTACTACATAAAACTAATAAGGCTACCACTTCCTCTCTTTTCTTTACTGATTAAAAATCACTTCTAACTACTTATTTACTCTTAGGGAATATGAAAAAAGATTATATTCCATATTGCCACTATAAGAAATGAGTAAAGACTATACATAGATTTTGAACAAGAAACTAATCCCTCAGCATAAAGGGGAATTCTTCCCAGAACTATCCAAGCAGAGATCACAATGGCAGCAAGAGCACACTGGATTGTTGTAGCAATAAAATTCATAATCATCTTTCCACAAAAATACATCTCTTAAATTTGAGTGACAGAGTAGCCATAATTGCATAAAGTGTACAAAATTTAAAAAAAAAATGGCAGAAAGAAAATGATAAAAGGGCCTGTTATGTGAAAGAAAATGCTAAGTGCTTGAACAAGAGTGTCAAAACTAGAACAGAACCAAACACTCCCAAACCCATCAGCAAGTGATGTATGTTATATACTGAGAACTAAATGATGTGGAATACTTATCCTCTCAGAACTTCAACACCAGAATGAGCATATCATAGATAATGAATCATTGGGACATGGAAAGAAACCAATGCTTTTCTACATTCCAAATCTGCAAATCGTATCTATAACAAAAAGATTTCTATATACAATCCAGATTTACATAAGCCCATCTATAATAAAAGAACATCACTCCAAGTGCAAACAGAACCAATTTCATGTGCTTCTTTTCTTTTCAGCACATGTAAGAAGCAGGTAATAGCAAAATACACAAAATTAATATGAAAATATTAAGGTTAATTATGAAATAAAAAACAGAGTCATAAAAAAATAAGAAGAAAATTTGGGATTATCTCATGGGCTTTCGCTACTACATTCAAGATTTTAAGCGGCATAATGATAATCTTTCTGGATAAAATGTTATTTTAAAATTTTTTAGGTATTCTTGTTCTTAATAAAATTAGTAAGATGCTTTTTGGCAACATATGGCAGTGCTCAGTATAACCTAATTTCTGCTACAAGGGTATAATCAAAACCTGAGCAATTATTCCACACTTCTTGAAATATCAGACAGACACCATTTCACAAAGTAAAATTTGGCCATTTTTTGATGATACACGTCTGCCAACTATCCAACTACCCAATGACCCACAAACCTTCACCAAATATCTAACACAACTTGCACTACTTTAACCCATTAAAAGTGTTTACCAACGTCAAACTTCAATTGAAATCAATAACATCATATAAAAAAAGACTATTAAAATACTTTTATAAAAAAAATTGGGGTGCAAAATATATAATTCTTTATTTATCCTCACCATTAAATAAGCCATGAATGATTCTACAACTAACAGAAAATTCTAAAGCAAAAACCAAAAAAAAGTAACCAATCAATCCAATACAACTGCAGCACCCAGCTCCCTAAGTTTTTCAATGATGGGATTAGCCTCCTCCTTGGTGATCCCCTTCTTCAAAACACAAGGAGCCTTCTCCACCAAGTCCTTAGCTTCCTTCAACCCCAAATCAGTAAAAGCTCTCACTTCCTTTATGATCTTGATCTTGGCAGCAGCATCATACTTCTCCAACTTCAAATCAAATGTTGTCTTCTCAACTGCAGCCTCCGCATCGGCCGGCGGAGACCCTACAGCAATTGGAGAGTCCCCGGCCACCGGAGCACCGTAGCGGTGGAGACCCATCTTGAGCCTCCAGAGGACAGTAAAGTCGTGCCTTTCAAACATGTTGAGGTCAAGAAGCTCATTTGCAATGCGTTCAATCTTCTGGGCGCGTGCCTCAGTGGAGAGAGTGCGTGTGAGGTTAAGAAGCCTCTTGGTGCAGTGAAACATTTTCTATTCACCACAGTTTTGGATGTAACCAACCAACAACACAACACACACTTCACAAGACAAATGAAACCCTATTCATCAACACTGCTTCATGTTATTAACAAGGAGTGTTTATTGTCACCCATATTTAATTTATTTTTATCTAAAATACACATTTGTTATTTGTTGATCAAATTAATACAAAATTTATTTTAGAAAAAAAAAAACATTTATGTGAAAGCTTATCAAATTAACAGTTATGTAATTTTTTCATGAGGATCAATAGCTCTGTAAGGAAGGAAACAAGCTTATTACAAGAATCAGTAGCTACTTACGTCGGAAGAATAGGATTGTAGGATGATCAACGTCAGAAGTTGTCCCGACCACCGGAGGACGATGCAGTACGACGGCGACAATCGGAGTGAGAACTGAGAGTGATGTGAGAATTTCTGTTTGCCAAAATTGGAATTTGTCAATTTGGTAACTAACCACCAGGTCGGTCGGGTGAGATTCTTACACTTTATAGTTTATTTAGAAGAAAGATGTAATAGAAGAAAAAAAAATAGAGAATAATAATAATAATAATAATAATAATAGAAAAATTTTAAAAAATATACTATATATAACGATAAAAAAATAAAAAGAAAATTGTCTTAAGGATTTAGATGGATAAAATAAAAAATATATTATGCAAAATATTTTTTAAATATTATTTTAATTTTTATATGTATTTTTTTTGTGTGATCTTATAAAAAAATTGTAGATAAAAATTCTTAAATGAAAAAAAGTTAAAATAGTCTTTAGTGTTAACTTCTATAAAATTGCTATTTCATATTTACATTTTTTTTTAATGTTGATCTCTATACATAATATATTTTATCATTGTAGTTATTATACATAACGTAAATTTTATTTTAGTTTTTATATGGAAAAAATCAATTATAAGAATAAAAAAAAATATTTCATAAAGGAGTCAAAATAAAAAATATATATATTAAGGTAAAAATAAATTCACCATCAAACCTAACTTGAAAAATGTTGTAATGATTTATGATGTACTATAAAAGATGATTTAATAATTTTAAACATATCATTGTACTTTAACGTAATTACGATGTGTATTATGAAACGATGGTATTTAAGATTTAAGTAAAAATAATTTTGCTTTTATTTATTATGAAATATTATAAAAAAAGAATATAAATTCTTTTTCTTTTTTCATTTGAGAAAGTAGTGATGATCTCCTTTTTATTTTAGTTTTCATTTTATAGGTTAAATTTTATAATTAAATTTATTCGTACTTTTAAATATAATTACGATGAATTACTTATTGTATAAACAAAATTTACATGCAGTCTTTTAAATGTTGGTCTAATTAAAATAAATTTTTTTACCTTAATAATAAAATTAATGCAAGTCAATATTAAAAAATGATATCAATCTCAGAGATAAGTCTCTAGTTTTAATCGGAGAAAAGTACCAAAAGCATTTAAGGTACTACATATAAGCTTTATTTACAAACAATATCCTAAGTAATATTTCAAATATGTCAAGAGTATATAACAAACAAAATATTTTTGACCACACTCTCAAACACTAATTTCTCATAACAATTTTGATAACTACATGAATATGCAATTATATTATTTAAGGTTAGTACATTACATATGTAAGATCGCAGTGTTGTGTGATAGTTAGCCATCTGAGATGTAATTGGAGTAATAATGATCTGAGTGAGAGTTTATTACAAGATGTCTGTTGCTTGCCGTGGTGGAATTGGATTGGAAGTGATGGCTCTAATGGGTTGATTGTGGTTATATATTTGACTCCAAATCATCTATGCTAATCCCTCATTAATTAATTTAACATCTTTCAACTTGTTTTGACACAAAGTTTTATTTTGAGTTATCTTAATTAATATATACTTTTTTTTTAGTCCATATGCATAACACTTCTTTTATTTTGATGTTTAATTTTTTTTTTATATATAAGAACTAAAATAAAAAATAGTTTATGTATAAGGACTATAATAAAAAAAATCCATTGTGTATAAAGATCAAAATAAAAAAGCCTAAATGATATTATTGGGACATAGTTAAAAATAGTTGTTATTAATTTTAATATATTTATAAAATTAATTTTTATGATCTAAGTATAGAAATAATTTTATTAATTTCAACTTTTAAGATTAATTTAAGTATTTTAAAATGATAAATTTTTATTAAAAAAATTATTACATTAAAGTTATAAAATTTCAATAAATATGCTTAAATTCAAATTTAGGAGTTGAAGTTAATAAATTTTTATATATAAAAAATTTGATAGTCCTTCAAGTTTAGAGGTAGCTGAGTAATCAGCAAAATTTGATCCGTTCTTGGAATGTTTCTTCAACTAAAAGACACAAAGAGAAAACCAAAACAGGAAACGATTGGGTCTGAAAAGTGGGAAGGAGGCCGAGAAAAAAGTAAAAAGCAAAATGAATTGGACCACTTTGCAAATAAGAATGAAGAAAACTCAGAAAGAGAGGTTCGGCGAGGGAAACGTTACCAAAAAGGAATAGAATAAGACCACTTTTCACTATTAATTTTTATTAAAAATTATAAAAAATTTATGAATTTTACTTTTTCTTGTTCTTAAATTAATTATTTTTTCATTTTTTTAGTTTTTAATAAATTTTATTTAACTGTTAGAAATATATTAAAAAAGATAAATTTTATGTTATTTTAAAAATTAAGAGTATTCTATGCTCTCTTATATGCAGAATAATTATGGTAATTAATTTTAATAGTAGAGTTAATAATTGATTTAAAAAAATATAAATAATTTTTAGTATCTTAATATAATTTAGAGAGTATTTATTTAAAAAACATGTTAGATAATAAATTTGTTTTATGTGTATTGTTGATAATAATAAGTTGCTTAAGAGAGCTATTCTGAAAATTATGCAATTTATAATCGATTATATCCTAAGCTAATAGTGTATATATCTCTTTTATCAATTATGAATATGCATGGTGATCAGGTGTGGACATTAATTGCAAATTGCAATGTAATATGTGATTTCTACTTTGTAGTGGGACCCTACTTTCCAAGCCGTTGTATCTGTGACTATTTAATTTAGAGTTTCCGGTGAATCCATTTTCTTACTTTAGGAGAAGGGGTTTGACTTTGACCCATTGTTTACCTGCTAAGGCCATGTCCGTGAATAAAAAGAACTCATATATATTTGCAATATCTTTCATTATTTTTAGAATTTAATTTTTCAAAGTGTATTTGATATATTCCAACAATCAATTGATCTGAAAGTTATGTATAAAATACTTTTAAAATTTAATTTTAAAAGGCATAAAAATTATTTTTAAATTATAATTCAGAAATAATTTACCAGTAACTTTCGAAATATAAGTTTTAGAAAGTATAAAATTACCTTTGAAAATTAAATTTTGGATATTATTTATAAATAAAATTTAAGTTTTAAAATATATTTCTACAAATTAAATTCTAAAAAAGAATATACGTACCTAACAAAGACCGATACGGCAAAATCGTAAACAGTAATCTCCGCAAATCAATTGCGTGTATCTTTTGATTTATCATTTTTTCCGATCACTTTGAAAGTGGATAGAAAGTGTTGCCAATATATTCATCGTTAGAGAATAACTTTTCTGTTGGAGAATTTCGTTGCCTAAAGTAATTGTACTCAACTGGCACAAGGCAATTTAACATGTTATATAAAGAATATAATATAATTAAAAGAAATGTGAAACAAACGTCTTTTAATAATTATTTTATTCGAAGCACTTCATTTAGAAACATACAGACAGACTACACGAAACCATTACATGGCAAGGAAATAGCTACAAAGGGCAAATAAAGAAAGAAAAAACCACACAGAACATTAGAACATTGTGCATGGAAGCACCATAGGCAACAACATTAGAACATTGTCTATGTTTCAAGACCATGGCAACACCTATAATTGACAGAAGTTACCTCCATAGAACGTCCACAATCCATGTTTGGGCATGGCATAGTGGCTAGAATTTCCGAGGGATAATTAGCGATTTCATTATGTTCACATTTGTGAGGATAATCTTTAACCTTCATTCTCTCATAGTACTCTTTGAATGCCACATCAAAGCTTACCTCTTCATGCAATTTCCCATGCCATATGTCAAAATCTTTAACCGTGCGATACATAGCTTCACCTTGACCAAGAAGCTTTACATTATACCCTTTACTAAGAATGACCCATCCCTTAGGATCTTGTTTAAGGAAGAGCAACCTCTTTATTTCCCTTGTTGCAAAGTCTTGCACCCCTTGATCACCACCCTTCATCATTTGTTTCCTGCTTGCAAGTAAACTATCTATGGCAATCCAAAAGCGTGGAACAACCTTTGGGTCATCTTGTCCAAGTTGATATGGTTTTATTGTGATGTCTTGTTGCATAGCTACTGATTCAACGAGCCTTTTCAATTTCTCCACTTCTGATTTGAATTCTTGGATCCACATGTTGTCCGTGCCTCCATAGATCAAGAGATAACTGTCCTCCTCGATCTGATTTTTTGCACATTAATTATATAAATGTATCTAGATCATTACAATTTGGGTGATATTTGTACATACAATATAACAAAATATATATATATATATATATATATATATATATATATATATATATATATATGAAAAATAGATTTTTTTTTACTAGTGTAAGTCTAAAAACTTTTATATTTGATTTGAGTTTTTTATTTAACATATATCTAACGGTCAATGAAGTAATAAATTATAACTTGTTAGATGTAAGTTAAATGAAAAACTTAAATTAAATGGAAGAGTTTTTAGATTTATACTAGTGTAAGAAGATTTTACCCCTATATATATCTTTCCATGTTGAATACTATATATGCAAATGTAAGAACCAAAGCGGATATTGGTAATACATTAGCTTTGGCAGAATCCAACTATGCTGAAACCACAATGAACTGCATCATTACCATAAAAGAACACTAATACAACCTCTCTTTTACATATGACTTTTAAACACTATTATTTCTTTTATCAACAATTAAGAGTATTATTAATAAAGGCGAATAAGAAAGATGCTTTATCCCGTTTACAAGTTTATTGTCATAGACAGTGATAATTCGGACTTTGTAAGGGATCTAATGTACAAATATTAGTTAAAGTTCATCTAATCTTACTAAATGATGTTAGTTTCATTCCTTAGTTATACATTTCTATTGAAACTTCCATGAATTTTTACTTAGAGAAATGCTATATAGCAATATAGTGCATTTTTAACATATTATTCAACACAGTTTACGCAGTTATTTTATATATTAATTACTTTATAAATTACATTTAATTTTTTAACAATAAACTAATTACAAAATTTGTACTGATAACATTTCTCTTTTATCTAACAATATACAACATGTTAAAAAAGAATGTAGCAATACATTATTTATCAATCATATCTAATAAATTTTGTTATTGAGGATTTCACTTCTCACTTAATAGGGCTATCTCTTTATGTTTCGAGATTTATGTGCATTTCATAAACAATAATGTGTAAAGATTGTTTATTGATAAGCTATTACTCTTTGTAATGATAATAATATGTGTCTTCAGTAAATCTACTTGCTTTATGTTTAAGTTTGATCCTTCAACAATATTAATCAAATTTCATACTTGGAATGCATACATGACATATTCATAACTTATCGGATATAAATTAAATGAAAGATTTATCTATATAAACTAGGACATGCAATAGTTTAAGCATTTAGTACATACCAATTCCTCTATTTTTGGGTTGAGCTTGGTCATTTCGGACCAAAACCAATTCCATTGCTGAGTAAGTCGGGTGTGATCAGAGGTTCTGAAAGGAAAGCCATCGATGCCCCACATAGATAAAATTTGCTTTGTATCAACGTTTTCCACCTTTCCTTCGGGGCTAATCAATGGGATAACAGCCTTTTCCTTGTACTTGAACACCTCTTTGATTAGTTTGATTCCTGTTTCGAAATTGAACTCTTTGACCACATACCATCCAATCTTAGTACGCTGCAAATGGGATTCTAATGTTTTCCTATGCTTCTCATTCCATTCATCCACAATGGGTATCCACAAAATCTTGAAATCCTCCTTCCTATAACCCTCCACTTCTCTTGGTTTTTCCTTCAATTTTTCGTATATTGATTTTAAAAGCTGAGTCTCCTCATCAATGTTTTCAAGGCCCGAAATGAATAATAAGACATGCTTCTTCTTAAATTCTTCGATTTTAACCTGTTAGATAGCACACAAGGTTGATAATTATATATTGTATGGATAAAATAATTCAAAAATTATTATATTGCACGTAATTGGATAGTAAGGAGAAGTATTTTTAAAATATGATAAAGTTCTAATTAGATAATTTTTATGTTAAATAGAAAGTCTTTTAAATAATTTGTCTTTAAAAAATTTAAAAATCTCTTCATTGTACTTAAATTATATATATTTATCATTCATAAATTCTTTTATGTTTGACTCTTATTTTAAAATCTCATTGTTGATTTCATATACAACACAACCTTAGTAGCTAATATGTTTGAAGGGGCAGAAGATATACAAACTCAAATTGTGTCTCTCCTTTTGTCACAAACTTTTTCTTTTAATGAATTTCTGTGCACTTAAAGAATAATTCTACCAACTAACAAAGTTGTTTCTTTGTTGATAATATTCTTAGGAATAGGATTAACAAGGCGATAAAAATTATTTTAATTCTTCTTGTCCGGATCACTTCTTGTGTACGGAGAGTTTCATTATTTAAATATAAAGATATTGACACTGTATATAGTTTTTTAAATTTTTATATATACTTTTTATATATACATTTAAAAATATATTATAAAATCAAAGGGTCAATTTTACTATCCCAATTTTGTGTTCGAGAAGCCTATGCTTTTTTCCAAAAACGTTTATTTTACTATATTATACCTACTTTTAAAAAAGAAAATGTTTCTTGAACATCAAAATGAGAAAAATAAAAATATTGTGCCTTTTGATTTTGGGATATATTTATTATATGCGTATATACAACATAAGATGTTATATAGATATACATAGTATGTAATGGCAGTACAATTATTGTAAACTTCCACAGTGGTTACCTGTTCTCCAGTGAGGCCATTATACACATTTTGCCTTAAATCCCGGTTCTCACCAGAGATGATGAGTGCTTTCAAAACCTTTACAATATCTTTACCAGTATGATTGACAATATTTTTACGCCTTGTGTAGTCTTCTATTCTTCCTGCAATTAGCACACACATGTTCTCTTATCAAATATCAATGAAGTCCAATCAAGCTTCTTAATTAGTTTAGAAATTACTTATGAATGAGAATTGAGTTCTAGACACGTAACAAACCTATCTCCTTGCTACACGTTTCCAAATGTTCCCTAAAATTTCTTAGAATAAGGTCAAGCTTATTCTCAAAATTTTTGGTTGATTCATGTCTCTGACCCCTGAATCAAAGCAATTGCAACCAATCATTAAATGCCACAACAAAAAACAATAAAATTTATTTGATTTATTACTTGAATAATAAAAATTGGTGTCAATTAACCCCAAATTTATTCATGAGAACTTTTATGGGACACACTTAAGAGAAAGTGTCATTTTAATTAATTCCTAAAAAATAGCAAACAAAAGTAATGTTAGTCCTTTAAAGGGATTAAACTAATATTTGTGATATTTAATGATCAATGTGTATTTTTTGTATCATCATGAAACATGTATTTCATATTAAAAATCTTTGGTTTGAGGAAATATTTTTTATTATGTCACTTTATTTTTATTTTTAAAGATTTATATAAAAATAGTAAGACGATCCAAACTTATTTTATACCATTTTCATATAATTTTTTAAAATTAAAAAAGTATCGTGATATTTTTATAATTAAAATAAATATAATTTTAAATTAAAGAGCTCCTAAATTTCATAAACAAATTTAGAATTTTACTCAAAATATTAGTTGAGCATTGAGTGATCATATAAAAAATATATATATCTTTCTAATGAAAAATGATTATTAAAAGTTTCAATATAAACAAAGGATACAATAACAATTATAAATTATGGCTTACTTATGATCACTTGTAAAGTCATCAAGTTGACCAGTACAACTGACAAAGGTGAAGATTGCCCAGTACACAACAACAGGAATCTCATGCAAAGTTTCAGCCAAGGTGGGCACATCCTTTATGTCATACCCTGAACTAGTTAGCCTCTTCCACTCAGTGATGCATTCAATAACTTGCATTGCCTTCTTCACTACACTGCTGAAATAAATTAGGTGTTGTGTGTTTTGGTGGATCATTAAAAGTCCATTCAAATCAGCCAATGATTTTTCAAGTTGGCGGCACTGTGGTGTAAGGGGAAGGTACAAGAATTTCCCATATTCCAAGGCAAAAGCTGCTTGAACTATAAGTGCCTTTGCATCCCATGAATATGCTTTCAACTGTTCTAGTATCAGCATTGTTGTGTAATGCGCATAATGATCACCACGAGCTGTGCATACCATCTACAATCCCAATACACATAATTTATTCATTTTTGCATTAGAGTGTACAAATTTTATTCAGTTAACTTAAACTTGCAAACTTCATTTTGTTTAGAATGAATTTATAGTAGTATGATTTATACTTGTTATAATGTGATTTATATTCGCATTGCTTTGTCTTGTACGTATAAGTAGTTTCTGTAATTCTATCATGTTGCCAAGTTTTACCTTGGATAAATAGATCTCTAATGCTATGTTTGAAAGTGAAATTTTAGAAGAAAAACATGGAAAGATAATTTTATGTTTAAATTAAAAAATTATATAGTTTATAAAAATAAATATAAATCAAGTTAATGATGATCTATCGTTTTAAAAGAGATAATGAGGTATTTCCTATTTACAGACGGAGATCTACAAGTGAAAAGATACTTATGTATGATAAGTCAATTAAAAACTTAGACAACATTATTTAACATAAATAGTTGTTTGAAACTCAAACTTGTACCATCATTTCATGAAAAATAATCATGTTCATTCTGAAGGGATAAAGATTATTGTCTTTTTTAGGTTAAGTAACATTGGTTATATACTTTTCGTGAATTGTTTAATTAAATTTCTTGTTATAAAAGAAATTAAAATTAGCAATCACCTGGCAAGCAATTCGCTTCAGTTTGGCAGTAAGTTGTTGGGAAGTTATTCCCGTTTCTTCTCTGAACCGATCACTAAGTTGGCTACCCTGTTCAGAAAATCATGAAATACAGATATACTTGATGGTAACTAGTAGCAATCATTCAAAATATATAAGTACCTTTTCAAAGTGAAGTTATTTGAAGCATAATATTACTTTTTGTTTAATTTAAAGTGTATTTTGATATCAATTGTTTATAATGAATTAACTTTTACTTGTTTATTTTCAAAATAATTTCACTTTATATATTTTTTTAAATATTTGTCAAAGTTAGTTGCAATTAGATAGACATAAATCAGTGTCTTTCGTCAAAATTGTAAATATTCTTTTAAAATATATAAAAATATCAGTCTTTAAAGTCGATGTTAAATATATGAAAATGATAATTTTTTATTAAAAAAATATTTATTACCTTAAAATATATAAACTTTAACAATTATTTTATTTTTAACAAACATTTACTATTTTTATATTCATGAAATGAACTTTATTGATTGATATGAACAAAATTCATAAAAATAAGTATTGAAGTAGCTTTAATCTCAAATGATCGAGTGTATTCAACTTAGATTAATTGAACCTTAATGGGACTTTAAATAATGGCTAAAAAAGTTATATAGTATAATTGAGATTTAAATTATTCAAAAAATAGAAGTAATTAGATGAAATTATTGCTATGGTTGATTTATGCAAGATGTTGTAAAGAGTGAAGGCCAAGTTACCTTAGCAATCATAGTGTCTGTAATTTCAATGGAGTGGTTGATAACGTTTGAGGCAACACTGTGAAGAGATCCAACCTCACACTTCTCAACACAATGAAAATGGGTTCTATAAACATTATCAAGGATCTGATCATCGGTGAATTCAAAAGGGTTCTGATGCATGGCCTTCCCTTGCTGCACATTAGTACTCGAAAGTGACTTGGACATGTTGGTGATTCAGAGCTAGCCTACAATACCCTACAAGTCAATTTCAAAGTAAATGATGGTTCATTCATTTTTATTATCCTATTTATAGTTAGCTAAAAGCAAAGAGCATGACTTTACAATTTTTAGACAAGGCCCATGTAGCACAATGAATGATTCTCTTCATCATAGAAGGAACTAGAAGCATGGATAAATAAATCATCAAAGCAAGAAAGCATCCAGTACATAAGTAATTAATTAATGTAACTTTTCCTGTATGATCCCTAAGAATAGTCGAAAAATGAAACATGTTGGTGTCAAATGAATTTCATAACGTACCCTTCATGCATTCTTGATGGTGACTCTAGTATTAGATGATGAGTGACATCATTTACTAGTACGATTCCCAAGACTTTTGCTTTCCAAGAAAAGAATGAGGATATGAAAACATGTTGCGCTTTTAGGATCAATTAAACCTACAAGAAAAGAATCATGGTAACATTGTGAAATGAATGATTCTATTATAATTATATTTTTCATACAACATTTTTACCCAACACATACCACATTCCAAAACAAAAAAGTATAAGCCTACGAGACATTAAAAGTGCAGCAATCGTAACAGACATCCATAATATAACTTTTAAAAGTAACATCGTATTTATCCCTAAACTTTCATATATATATATATATATATATATATATATATATATATACTTATTCATTCATAGCATTTGATAACGCCCTGGTTTCATAATATTGTAACCTTTTAACTTAATGCCCTACTCTATTTTATGGTTATAAATAAAGAAAAGAGAGATAAAGAGGAATACGGGGTAGGCTTAAAAATTGGGATACAAAAAATCAAAATTGTTAAGATTAATTGATTTTTCTTTTATATTAAAAATACAATATGACATTTTTTATATTTATAATACGTGATTAAAAGAAGAGGCAGTGACAAGATGTAATAAAATGGACAACAGTATATAACACGCATGTATCCTTGGTGAGACTTTTCTTTTCGCTTATTCATGCTTTGCTTTGTTAGGTATTATAAGTTTGGGATGAAAGTGCGGTGCATGTTAGCGAAACACATGTTCTGCATGGTTTATACAAAAGGACTAAAAGATGAAGTGTTGTCAGTTGATTCGTATAAAAATAATTTAATTTATACGTCTTTTGTTTTTCCTTTCTTTTACTAAAAGATGATACAATGCATGTTTTTCCATTTCTGTATCTTAATTAGGGTTGTTATTTGATTATTTTTTAAAAAAATTAACTTTAGATTTTATTATTAAAATAAAAAAACCTAAAAATAACAATTTTTTATTGAAAGATTACATTTACTGTATTAAAAGTTTAAAAAATATTAAATATTATTTAGTATATAAAAAAATTGTTGGTTTTAAATGTTTAAAATCAATGACCAAACTTATCGAAACCATTTATTAAATATATAAAATCACAGCATATTTCATAATATCACATTATAAAATAAAGGCAACTTATACACTATTTGTTTCTTTTTTCTTTTAATTTCATTAAACTAAACAAAAGCTTCAATTTAAACCAAAAATAGAAAGATTCAACTAAACAAAATTAATGATACCGTCTTACTTTTCCCATTTCACTCTTTCCTTTACTCTTCTCCCTAGTCTTTTATTTTATTTTTCCTTTTTCCGACCAAACAAGCGTGATTCAGAACATAAATATAAATTAGTTACGTAAATGAAACAAAAGAATCGACAAGGGTCAAAACAGATTAGTAATAAATTATAATCTATTATCTATAAGTTTGTTACAGAACAGTAAATTTAAAACATATATGATATAAAGAATTACAGTAAATTAAATATTTTTAAACAATCACCTATTAATAGTTTGAGTATATATAAACGATAAAAAGCATAACATATAATATTGTGAATATTTATAGAATTTAGTTAGATTTAAACACAAAATTGAAAAAGATATTAGAAAAAATATTATGAAAAAATAAATTTAATTTAATCAAGTACTTGTCTTACTTCAGATTTGTCCAAATTGTCATCTCAATTGTAAAATGTAACGATCAAGACATCTATGTTGCATTAATAGCATTACAAATGACATGACATATGAAAAAGTTAGAGTAACAACATTGTATGGGAAATGGTATAGTGAAGAATTGCTTGAGCGTTATATGTACAAAGAGGCTGGTTATATTGATTTGGGAAGGCAGGGTACATACATTGGGAGGGAAAAATAGGGAGATTGCTATGAAGAAGTTGTTGGTGAGGTTTGCTTCGGTTCACATTAGGGCAAATTGCAAAAGTATTAGAAAAATGAAGAATTAATGCACAAGTATCGATTGACGAGGTACGTGCCTACGTTAAGGATATTTTATTATGCCATGTTAGTATGTGTTTTGTTTTTCTTATTTTGTCAATTGTTGATAGAAGATTTTGTTATTGTTGTCATTGTGGGGTATGTGGTATCTTCGGAGTGCTAATATGTTTTGCTGTTTATCGTGTTAATGTTGTCATTAATTTTCTTGTTAGGTTTACTTATTCGCTATATATGAGCAACATGAAAATCTATCACGGATATTTTCTAAGTCTCTCAAAATTATGTATACTAGATGAGAATTTTGTATGGGATTATAATGAAGAGTTTTAGAGCTATTTTATGTATCTTGCATGTAGAAGTTATATAAAGCGTTGGGTTATGATGTAGTAGGTCAAATATAAACTAGGTCATAGGACAAATGTACGGGTTGGTGAGGAAAGTTTAGAAGGTTGTACATTTTACCAAGAAAAGAAAGAAAATGTTACAACCCAAGAAGATACGACCATGGAGCCAAGGATTAAAGGTGAACATCGTGAGAAACAGATTTCATTGTTTAGCAATTAACACGGAGCAAATATATTTTAGTTGGTTATGTTATCTTACTTTAAGTTAGCTTAATATTAGGATTATCAATTAGTTGTTTTTAATCTACTATTTGAATTATGGTTTTATCTTTATAGTACGAGAATAGGATATAGTTACTATGTGACTTTATAAATATGACTATTATGCAATTATGAAGGGATGAGTATTTTGATTTGACTTAAGAGAATTGTCTCTTGTGGAGTTTTGGAGCTTAACACGAACAAGGCTCTAACAGAAAACACATGTCTCAGTTGTTAAAAGGGCATACGAATTTTGAGTGGGAGAAAAATCTATGTATAGCGAGACTTAACAAACAGGATTGATCAAATTCATATTACATTTTTTTTAAAAAAGATTCCTACATATGGCTGCATGATGCTTATGGAGAAGACATTAAAATATGCTCACTATGTATTGCAACAAGTTACATTGATGGCAGATAAGGATTTCTTCAACAAATCCATATTAAGTTTCAACTTGTGCAAATGGAGGGTGCTATTAGTTGGGTGGAATACAAAGGTAAATATGAGAAAAAGAGATTGTTCTAAATTATAGCTAAAAATAAAATGAAGAATTTAATTAAGTGAAAGTTAGTTGGACTTGAAAGTGCTATAACAAAAAGATATTAGAGAATAATTCATTTTGAAGAGTAGTTTAAACTACTCTAATAAGCACGGTTGAAACTTAAGTTTATATATTATATTAACAAATTAGTCTACATTTACATGAATCAAACAATGATATGCAGAAAAGAGATCAAAGTAATAGGATGTTTCAATGTTGATAGAGAGAGAAAAACAAAGAAAGAGAGATGTTTGATAAAAGTACCTTGATGAAAACTGAGATGCAAGTATTATTGAATATCAACAAGAAAAGGTAATTACGCAACTAGAGCTTATGGCTCCTATAAAAATTCCAATAGCACTAGAATTCTGTCTTGTTGCTCTCTCTAAGAGAATGTAACAACTTACCTTTCTCTCTTCTCTCCCTTTACTCTTATCATGCCCCATTTAACTAACTCGTGTATTAAATTTCTTTTTTGCCCCATTGCTTTTTTTCTTTCTCATATACACTCTGCACACTTTTGGCCTCTCAGTGGGATCCAATAACTTATCCCCTTTCCTTAATTCGTCACTTGGGCCAATAGCCCCAACAATACCTTCTGCTAAAACAATAGCCTTGTCCTCAAGGTTGAAATGAGAAAATTGACTCTTCATGAAAAATTCTTCCTTCCAAGTAGAGTCTTCAGCTGCAAGTCCCTACCATTGATTTAGATATTCCTTGAATAGGTTAGTTGCCTCCATTTTGTCTCGTACTATCCAAACCTTCTTTGGTTCTGTCACACAATCTACTGTCATATCCTTTGGCAAATCAGGAGTAACTTAATACTAACCAACAAGCTTTTTGAGCAATGATACATGGAATACTGGATGAACTCTAGAAGTGGGAGGCAACTGAAGCTTGTATGCCATTGCTCCAATTTTTTCAAAGATCTAAAGAGGGCCAAAATATCGTGGGGAGAGTTTTGAATAAATCCGTTGGGACATAGTAATTGCTTATGTGGATGCAGTTTAAGAAAAACCCAATCACCAATAGTAAAAGTTACATCTCTTCAATGTTTGTTTGCATAATGTTTCATTTGTTCTTGTGCTTTGTTAAAATTTAATTTCAACTGCTTCAGGGCCTCATCTTTATCTTTAAGATCTCTTGCCACAACCTCTACTTTAGTTTCTCCATCTAAGTACCTCACCACTGATAGAGGCTTACGCCCATACATGATCTTAAAAGGAGTGAAACAAGTAGTTACATGGAATGTGGTATTATACCACAATTCTGCCTAGAGCAGCTATAAAGACTAATTCTGGGGTTGTTTAGAAACAAAGCACTGTGGGTAAGATTCCAAACAATGATTAATCACTTTTGTTTGGCCATCAATTTTAGGATGATAGGATGTGCTCATTGTGAGAGATGTACCTTGTAATTTAAAAAGCTCTCGCTAAAACACATTGACAAAAATAGGATCCCTATCATTAAGAATGAACAAAGGAAATCCATGTAGTCTAACAATTTCCTTCACAAACAATATTGTAATAATTTTCACCAAGTAA